GGGACCCATGTGGGGGTGATACCACTTCTTTTCAAACAACTCTTTTCCTGCTCTATGACTCTTTGACAAGAAATTAATCAATTATTAAGTCCCTATTTAGGCTCCATTTTAATTTTATCGTATTTTTCCCTTTCTTTTCTTAATTGTACATTCTTCAATAAAGTAATATTACACTTAAATTCAAAATTTTTCCTTCTTTTTCAACCATACGTTAAAAAAAATCACTATTTCAAAATATATGTTTTCCAAAAATACGTTAAAATTGAGCACAAAGAGGGGCTACATGATACAATTGTTCATGCATTGACATATATTTTGGAAGTAAATTCTTGTCGTGGGCCCTTGGTTCCACCAGATAGCATTTGGCTTTGAAGTAAATGATAATAATTCTTAAAATGTTAAGAATTGGGGTTCCATATTAAAATGTTAACTTTTTTTAAGAGTAGTAGTCCAAAATCTTTATTAATTAGTCTTTGTCAACATCATTTATTGATATGAGATATATATCCCTCAACACGTCCCAACAAGATGGTGACTCATTTGAGCAGACCAATCTTGAAATTCACGTGCTCATTTTAGAGTCTTAAGCCCTAGTTTAGCGAGCAACCTCATATTACTCGAGACTATGGTATAATTCTTAACTTTAAGAATCTTAAAAGGTCAACTTTTTAAAAAGGAGTAGCCCAAACTCTTTATTAATTGATTTGTGTCAACATCATTTATTCGATGTGGGATTTTATCCCTAACATGCCCCCTCAAGATGGCGACTCATTTGAGCAGACCAATCTTGAAATTTGTATGCTCACTTTTAGAGTCTTATCGGATCGAATTGCTCGTTAGATATTAATGGACTCTGATACCATATTAGAAATTATATTGAGCCTAATTCAACCTAACAAAATCGGCTTGTTGGGAGGATTGCCCTCAATTTATTAAGTGAATCGTGTAAATATCACTAGTCAATGTGGGACTCAAATACGCCCCCTCACGCACAACGTGGACCATGTCAAACAATTGTGAACAAATCGATATTGGGTACACCCAACATTGCAAATCTGAAACTGCTCTGATATCACATTAGAAAGAATATTGGGCCTAACTCAACATAACAAAACCGGGTTGTTAAGGAGGATTGCTCTCACATTATTAAGTGAATCGTGTAAACATCATCAGTCAATGTGAGATTCAAATATGAAACATACTTCATTCTTAAATAAAATTACCATTAATCCGGCATAAATGGTCACATGCAGTTAATTAACTAGTGTATTGTGGAACAAAATAATATATATTTACAAAACCCGGAAATAAGATGTCCACACACTGTTTGGATACAATGTTTAGAAAAGAAAATAATACATATTATCAAGCACATTTTTGCTGTAAAAAAAAAAATAAAAAATCCCATTTTAAAAGTTAGAAATGTAATTAGTGTGGTTAAAAAAAATTGTTGAAATTTAAAACGAAGTATTAATATATTTTTAAATATGTAACAGAACATTAGTTTTATTTTTTTTTAATAAAAAGTTAATATGAAAGTATATCACATAAAAACGAATTTCATTTTAAAAGTCAACTTTGTTAAGAGAATAATGTGCTCCCATTTTAGTTGATTAAAATTGTGCGTTTGAGCTAGCTTCGTGTCTTGAATTTCATTTTAAAATATTAACTTTAGTTAGAGGACTAATCCAAATATTTATATGATATATATTTATTTTGTTGTTATTTGCGGTGGGATTTACCTTTAAACATGTTGATGAAACCTAAGCAGTGACGAAACTTGCGACCCATGTGGGGGTGATTCCACTTCTTTTCAAACATTTCTTTTCCTTCTTTGTGACTCTTTGACAAGAAATTAATCAATTATTAAGTCCCTATTTAGGCTCCATTTTAATTTTATCGTATTTTTCCTTATTGGGTACACCCAACATTGCAAATCTGAGACTGCTCTGATACCACATTAGAAAGAATATTGGGTCTAATTCAACCTAATAAAATCGGCTTGTTAAGGAGGATTGTCCTTACATTATTAAGTGAATCGTGTAAATATCATCAGTCAATGTGAGATTCAAATATGAAACATACTTCATTTCTTAAATAAAATTACCATTAATCCGGCATAAATGGTCACATGCAGTTAATTAACTAGTGTATTCTGGAACAAAATAATATATATTTACAAAACCCGGAAATAAGATGTCCACACACTGTTTGGATACAATGTTTAGAAAAGAAAATAATACATATTGTCAAGCACATTTTTGCTGTAAAAATAAAAAATAAAAAAATCCCATTTTTAAAAGTTAGAAATGTAATTAGTGTGGTTAAAAAAAATTGTTGAAATTTAAAACAAAGTATTAATATATTTTTAAATATGTAAAAGAACATTAGTTTTATTTTTTAATAAAAAGTTAATATGATAGTATATCACATAAAAACGAATTTCATTTTAAAAGTCAACTTTATTAAGAGAATAATATGCTCCCATTTTAGTTGATTAAAATTGTGCGTTTGAGCTAGCTTTGTGTCTTGAATTTCATTTTAAAATATCAACTTTAGTTAGAGGACTAATCCAAATATTTATATGATGTATATTTATTTTGTTGTTATTTGCGGTGGGATTTACCTTTAAACATGTTGATGAAACCTAAGCAGTGACGAAACTTGCGACCCATGTGGGGGTGATACCACTTCTTTTCAAACATTTCTTTTCCTTCTTTGTGACTCTTTGACAAGAAATTAATCAATTATTAAGTCCCTATTTAGGCTCCATTTTAATTTTATCGTATTTTTCCTTCTCTTTTTTTAACTGTACATTCTTTGATAAAGTAATATTACACTTAAAACTCAAAAATTTTCCTTCCTTTTCAATCGCACATTTTAAAAAAAAAAATCACTATTTCGAAATAAATTTTTCCCAAAAACACATTAAAATAGAGCACAAAGAGGGGCTAAATAATACAATTGTTCATGCATTGACATATGTTTTGGAAGTAAATTCTTGTCGTGGGCCCTTGGCTCCACCAGATAGCATTTTGTTGAGGCACATCCCGTGATTTACCTTCTCCACGATGCTGTAGGGGCGGGGAAGGACCCTCAAGGTTGGGGTTTAACCTTCAGATAGCATTTTGCTTTGAAGTATATGATTATAGTTCTTTAAGAATATGAAACATACTTCATTCTTTAATAAAATTACCATTAATCCGGCATAAATGGTCACATGCAGTTAATTAACTAGTGTATTCTGGAACAAAATAATATATATTTACAAAACCCAGAAATAAGATGTTCACACACTGTTTGGATACAATGTTTAGAAAAGAAAATGGTTTTAGGTCTTTCTGAATAATGTCCAATGTGTCGCATTCTATTCAGTAGAACAATTCAATTCTGATTCCATGTTTGATTGAGAAACTTCCTGGCAAGTCCTAAAACATCTGCGAACCTATATATTTGCAGCAGACAATCAAACAAAGTTTAATGGTCAATTCACCAGATTGTTTGCCTCCAAATTCGAATTACAAATACTTTTTATCATCAAGAAGATGGGAGGGAACTTCTCGAGGTAATGGGGCCACGCAAGAAAGGGAAGGAAGAAGAAGAAGGAGGAAGTTCGATACGGCGGTGTATGGAGACGGCCTTGGGGAAATACGCAGTGGATATACGCGATTCCTCAAGGCATGGAGCACGATTGTGGTTCCTTCAGAACTTTTGATATGGCTGAGTAGGCGGTGAGGGCTTTTGACTGTGCTGCATTCAGATTTAGGGGTCATCTTGCAATCTTGAATTTTCTTAATGAATACTTCCCTCAACTCTCAAATACCCCTCTTCTTCAAAATCCCATATTTTCATTGTCATCCTCGTAGACTAGGGCTTAACACTAGTAGTACTAAATAGCTTTACTTAATCGAAAAATATATGGACTTCAATCAATGTAGCTTATATGTTTCTCCTCGAATGCACATGGTTTAATTGATTAATTTCTTCATCTAACGCCTCGTACATGAAATTGTACAGATAGCTTATAGGGTCCTTAGCAATACTCTTAATTCTTTAAGATTATTTCCATAGCAATGGCTCTGTGATTGTTGATATACAATTTTTTAGTATGTATTACTTTCAATGTTTCATTCTCGATTTAATGTTCACTGTAGTCTATACAAAGTGAAAGCTATATTAGGTCAGTGAACACTGACATAAATGATGCTTAATTGGATGTATAATACTGTAAAAGTGTTAATATACTCAGAATTGTACATAGTCGAGTCATGTATTAATTGTGATTCAAGACATTTTTCTCTAGGTTAGTGCTTGTGTGGAAGTGAATTTGGGGGACGTGATTTTCTGAAAAGTAATTTTCTTAGGAAACCGTAGAAGCAGTAGTCATTTATGCACCCAACTTTTGCTCCGCATAATGTAAGTTTTTCTTTAAGAAATTTTGTACACCTTGATTAGGACTCGTTATTGCATTCGTATATGGCTAGGGCATATGGTTCTTCCTCTAAATTTTCTTTATTCAGCTCGATTTTTAAATGTGCAATACATCTTCAGTCGGTCCAAACATGTACAAGACCCATTTTCTAGTTTTGTTTCTACAACCCTAACTCCAACCATCACTAGGTGTTAACAAAAAACAATTACAAAACAAGTGTAGCTGCACTTTCAGTTGATCCGTACAAGAAAAGACCAAGACTTCAAAATTTGTGAGCCAGCTTGTTTCTAATCGTTTTCTATCAATTTTTGTGGCAGAAATAATTTAAAGGGACTTTGCCAAATTAATTTTCTCTGAGAAATATTGCATTCACAAGCTCATGATATATCAAGGTAGTAATCCAATTGGCAAAACGATAGGACATTTTAATAGATAAGATTTCGTAGCATATTTTTCTTCTTCAATATTGTTTTGTAGTATTTATTCCATCCTACCAAGTACCAAACACGTATGAAAGTTCAAAATGAAAAAGGAGGATGAGGAGTTGAAGACGAAATTAACTTAAATCTTACTTCTTCTCTTTTTTGTCATAATCAAGAAGTTCTTCCAATAAGTTGTCGTCCAAGTACTCGAATTCGAAGACTTCTCTTTCCTGCACTGAAGATGAAGTTGAAGACGAAGCAGAAGCAAAATGTGATGAACTACTAGGCAAATTGTATTCTTCTGGGAAGTTAAGTATAGCCAAATGACCTCTCATGGCATACGCTGCCTTGTCGTAGGCTCTAGCCGCCTCCTCCGCCGTGTTAAAAGTACCGAGCCAAACCCGAGCCCCCTGCCGGGACGAATCTCGTATTTCTGCGGCGTATTTTCCCCATGGCCGCTTCCTAACACCTCTGTACTTGATCTCTCCAGCACCCCTCTCAGTGCTTTTTCCTCTGTTGCTTGGCTCCTCATCCATGGTGAACTTCTGAAAATTGTTTCCCAGGTGGATAGGTGAGATGGCAATTTATACTGTCTTAAATCTTCCAAAAAGTACATGGTTTTTGGAAAAACGAGGGGTCCAAATTTTGCCACGTGGATAATCGAGTGGAAGAAAATTGTTCACTGTATAGAACCTTCCATGTAAGACTAAAGTTTATATGCAGTGCATCTGGCTAGTCAATGTGGTGGCTTTCAGAAAATTCATCTTCAGTTCTGCATGTTTGATTCTGTCACTTGTTATTTTCAGCATTCATTCAAAATTTATGCCACGTGCAAAAATTCAATATTTTAAGAAAATTAGTTTTAAAAGCATTGAAATAAATTAATTATTGAATGAATATTTTGTTGCTTTTGTATATTGTTCTAATTCCCAAAGAAGTCATGTTTTATCTGACATGTTCAAGACAAAATATATCACTTAAATGTTTAACGGTGTATATTTGTCTAAAAAATATGTGATTGGTAAAAAGAAAGGTGCAAAATGATTTTAATTGTACTATCCACAATCCAACTATCAAAATTGTGCATATGTCAAGTTGTGCTTTGAAAATATGGTATAAATACATGTGTTATATGTGTTACCTAGTCTTCTTTCATCCTTAAAGGTAACGTATGTGCTTCTTGCCTAGTCTTTTCTCATCCTTAAAAGGTAGCATATGTGCTTCTTGTATCCATCCCAAGCTGCACGCATCTCATTGACCATGATCTGCGGTGACCAAAAACTTGATCCTTTGAAAATTTGCAATTGCACGGGATCGTGATCAAGTAATATAATGATGAATAGAGTGTCGAATCTACGATGACTATGTATTTGACAAAGTTAAAATTAATTGTAACTTTAATCGAATAGCAAACAAAGTTTGTGATTTTTTCTATACTAATACCTAAATTATCAATTAAACTAATGAAAGTAAGTAAACGTGTTTTTCAAATATGAGAGATCATTACTAAGTTGTCGAAGCCTCCTTTTATTCCTTTTTGAGTTTTAATTCCATCCAATTGTCTCTTAAAAATATTTAAAGTATCTTCTTGCGTTCGAATCAACTATTGAATAATTACAATTTGGTCCTCAAACTTTGAATTTTGCTTTTTTTTTTTTTTACTAATTTTCGCTTCTTTCTTTCGATTCCTTGTCAGCCATAGAGTTTTACCTATATAACATAAAATACAACAATTTATGATATATTTTGTCAGAAGAACTATCAATTATCGTTATTTTAGACCTCGAATAAAATACACTTATCAAATACCCCAAACTTAAACATTTGTTTGTCCTCAAATAAAATTATAACTTAAATAATAACAAACACACAAGCATTAAAAAAATATTTGGTTAGACAATCTAGTTTTTTATCTTAGTATTTGAAATTACAATACTAAATCTACAAACTGTTTCAAAGTCACAATTCCAAACCAATATCCACCATTCCAATGCAAAACTAACGTGAGTGTGTGAATAATTAAGTAGACAATCAAGAATTTACAAGCTGCTTAAATTTCGAACCCTTTGTGGTCAAATATATCATTTTACATCTCGTATGATTCACACACTCCCAAAATTGTTCTTTTTTCACTTTTTTCCCAGTGTATAATCTAAAGTTTTTTCATTACTATAATCACTCTCTCTAGTTCTTGTGAACTCTACTAATTGTAAGTCAACACATCAATAAATAAAGATTCTTCAATTTTTTTGATTACTTCTATCTCTAAGACTAGTCTAGGCTAATAATCCTTCATCAAAAGTCAAGTCTTCTCAAATAAGTGTTTGGGGCTTAATTAGGGCATTTGGTGTGTCATCTGTTTCATGCATCTATTTTTTTCAATTTTTTTTTTTTGCACAGATCCTTTAAGCTTTCTATATGACCCCATGTAACGAGCTTTTGGCTAATGATTTCCAAATCAGACGATTTTAAGGCACGGGGTTGTAAATACCCTAATAGGCTTAGTAACTCGAATCATAAATACTACGAATAGATGTCATTTATATAACACTGATTAGTGTAATACCACTCATTAAACACCTATTCAAACAAACTAACTTCCAACTTAAGATTTTCGCCCAATTTTATCCCGTTAATCTATGACAATCCATAAAAAAATTCACATATGGAATCCCTATCCACATTCGTATCTTTCTACAATAGAAAAATCATCCCTAAGCTGTGTTAAATTTGATCTAAGGATAAGTAATTTAGTATAATTTGGGTAAAGCATCTATGTCCAACTATATTAATATATCAATTAAATGAATCATCTCATAGCATCACGCTATCCAATTTCATTCTAGTACACGTATAATATCAAGTTTTGTAAGGTTAAGTCTCAATCATTCTAGCATGCATCATATCCACAGTTCATAAATCAACACCAAATCTCAAATTTAATCATCATTGCCGACCAGATTATCTAACTCACACAAACACATAACTTAAAACAAGAAATTTTTTAAAATATTTTTTATATATATAATAAAGCAAAAACAAACACACAAACACTTAAAAACATATGAAAAGTAAAAAAGTCAACGTTTTTTTCTACCCCCAAACTTAAATCCGACATCATTCTCAATGTCCTAAAGTATAAATAAGAATATAAGGGGATGGGGGAGAAAAGAAAGAAGGTACTCCCCAAAATTTCTCAGTTGAAAGAGTGAGGCACATGTGTGACGGTAAGAAAATCTTCTCACCATGTTTTCCTCTTGGTCTATGTTGGTTTGAGTATTTCGCAACGTCATGTTTCCGTGCATAGTGGTCAAATCAAACATTAAAGATCAAATAACCTAGAACACGTGTTACTTAGTCCAAGCAATCAAAATAACCAGCAATAAATTCAATAGCCTAAGGGAAAACATAAAATGATGGTTATACCTTATAAATTGAAGCGTGCCTAAATCTAATGCAAATTAATAATCAAAATAAATCTATATGCAATGCGGTACAGAAAGCAGAATAAATGAAATGGTTAAGAAATTGGGTTGCGTTCCAACAAGCGCTTAATTTATAGTCTTAACAAGCGCTTAATTTATAGTCTTTAGCTAGACTGTATGGAGGGACTGATCATGGTGGTTCACACTGGAGTCTTGCAGCCTTACGGTCCTTGCAATTTTCAACTTTACATCCTCTTTTTATCCTTGAGATCTCTATTATTCTCTAAAAAAAAAAAAGGTTCCCTAGACGTTTAGGCTTTGTCTCTTCGACCTTTGATGAATTTCTTCAGTGAAATATTTGGCCTCCACCTAGATTAGTTTGCTTGGGTAGATTATGTAATTTAAAGTTTTCACGCGCGTCCTCCACCCTCATAGCCAGCTCACCCTTCTCCATGTCAATCAAAATTCGACTTGTTGGTAAAAAAGGTCGACATAAGATAATTAGCATATCGTGGTCGTCTTCGAGGTCCATAACAAGAAAGTCTGCTGGGAATATCAGCTTTCCAAATTTGATAAGCATATCCTTAATCTTGTCCCATGGGTATCTGATGCTCTTATCTGCTAACTACAACGTCACATTCGATTCTTTAACTTCTCCAACTCCTAGTTTCCTAAAAAGTTTCCTAAAAGTAGACAAATGCATTAAATTTATACTTGCACATGTATCACTTAAAGCATTAAAATGAAATGCTTTGCCTAGTAAAATAGGTAAAGTGAAACTCCCTGGGCCTTTGAGTTTTGATGGCAATTTATTTTGAAACCTTACACTGCTCTCCTCGATTAATGCCACTTCCTCCCAATCTGAAAAACTTTCTTTTCTTAGATATCATGTCCTTCAGGAACTTTGCATACATCGAGATCTTTCGTATAGCATCGATGAATGAGATATTGATGTGGTACTTTTTCAGCATATCCAGGAACTTTTTGAATTGATTATCGAGCCTTTTCTTTTGTAGTCTTTGTCGAAAAGGTCGTGATGGCACAAATTCTTTAGTAGGAGTGAATTCTTTAACTTCTGGATCCTCTAATGCTCTTTCTGTCTCTGCTTCTTTGTTCTGCTCAGATTCCTCCAATTGCTCTTCAACCGTGGAATGTACTTTTTTTGTAGCAACTGGTCTCTTTACATTAATTTCCGGTAGTTGAACTTCAATGCGGGTAGTTATTGCCTCAATCTGTTCTTCATCCACAACCTTCACTGCCGTTACCCGCTGTTTGAGATTTGTCTTAGTGTCATCGAGTAATGCTCCTAGTGGTCTATCTGAAAGTGTTTTCGCTATTTGTTCCATCTGATTTTCCAAGTTTTTGATGGCAGCTTATTGAACTTGCAATGTTTTATCTATTCATTGCATGTGTTGGGTAGATATCTCCGCCAATTTAGTAACAAGATATTCTAACAAAGATTTCTTCTCATTCCGCTAAAAACCTGGTGGTGTAGTTTGCTGTGGTGCTGTCTGAGCTCCCTGATTGTTGCTCCAATGAAAACTTGGGCGATTTCTCCAGCCTGTTTAATAGATGTTAGGACTTGAATTATGTTGTTGCCTTTGAAAATTCTGAGTGTAGTTCACATCTTCCACCTTCTGAATAAAAGGAGGCCCTATATTACAATCAACACTCTCGTGGTTCCCTCCACAATGTTTATATTTCGGTCTCATTGCCTAGACTGCATTCATCTGATCCACATTATGTGCCAATGATGGCAATTGTGCTAAAATTGTTTTCAAAGAATCAACTTCGAATACCCCAGTTCCTTTCTTTCCACTTGTCCTTTTAGTAGGCCAAAGTGCATTTGTAAATGCCCAATCCTCCATGATTTGGTAGACTTGTTCGTTCCTAAGCATCTGAATAGCATTCCGAGTCCAGGTGTTGGAATGTGGTAATCTCGTCCCTCAACTTTTCAATCTTTTTTGGTGGGAAATATTTACGAAGGAATTTTTGACTAAATGGGTTCCATGTAGTGATGCTTTGAGGTGGACAAGTGTCTAACCACTTTTTGGCTGAGTCTTTCAATGTGTATGGGAAAAGTCTCTAACCGTTCATTTCATCACCCGTGG